AGAAATAAAATGTGATATGTCAGATTCCAACATTGTACAGATTCGCTAATACTTAAGAATTAGATATACACATACACTGCATTGTCTTAATTTGTTTATATGCCTGGAGCCAATAATAATTATTTGTTTTGTAAGTTTTGTTGAGATACTGGGTTATTGTGTGCTCGCCATTTTGTTACTCATGTTTGTCCTGTCTCAACATGACGTTTTATAAAGTCCATTCATTTAAAACTAGTTCTTGATGTCAGATAGTCATTAAGGATCAAAATTCATATTCTGCTGCACTTTTAGTTGTATTTGCATTTCAAATACTATAAGTAGGTCACAGTGACCTATATTTTTCACTTACTGAAATTGTGTCCATTATCATACGTTTAGCTTATTTTTCATAAAAACAGGTCTAAGAGTAGTTCATTTTAACGAGAAGTTATGTATTTGGAATATATGTTTATAACATAAGACTTGAAGAATCATATAAAAATTACTAATAGGTTGGTTGGAACATCACAGATTTAAACAGTTTACCATTTGAAATAATTATTTGACTTCAAAGACAAATATCAATCGCAACAAGCTCAGGGTAAGGTGTTTGTAAATTTATTGGTTTGTCAAACCAATAGATTTACAAACACCTTACCCTGAGCTTGTTGGGACAATACATTTACAAACACCTTACCCTGAGCTTGTTGCGACAATAGATTTACAAACACCTTACCCTGAGCTTGTTGCGACAATAGATTTACAAACACCTTACCCTGAGCTTGTTGCGACAATAGATTTACAAACACCTTACCCTGAGCTTGTTGCGACAATGCATTTACAAACACCTCACCCTGAACTTGTTGCGACAATAGATTTACAAACACCTCACCCTGAGCTTGTTGCGACAATACATTTACAAACACCTCACCCTGAGCTTGTTGCGACAATAGATTTACAAACACCTTACCCTGAGCTTGTTGCGACAATAGATTTACAAACACCTTACCCTGAGCTTGTTGCGACAATGCATTTACAAACACCTCACCCTGAACTTGTTGCGACAATAGATTTACAAACACCTCACCCTGAGCTTGTTGCGACAATACATTTACAAACACCTCACCCTGAGCTTGTTGCGACAATACATTTACAAACACCTCACCCTGAGCTTGTTGCGACAATACATTTACAAACACCTCACCCTGAACTTGTTGCGACAATACATTTACAAACACCTCACCCTGAGCTTGTTGCGACAATACATTTACAAACACCTCACCCTGAGCTTGTTGCGACAATACATTTACAAACACCTCACCCTGAACTTGTTGCGACAATAGATTTACAAACACCTCACCCTGAGCTTGTTTGGACAATAGATTTACAAACACCTCACCCTAAACTTGTTGCGACAATACATTTACAAACACCTCACCCTGAGCTTGTTGCGACAATACATTTACAAACACCTCACCCTGAGCTTGTTTGGACAATAGATTTACAAACACCTTACCCTGAGCTTGTTGCGACAATACATTTACAAACACCTTACCCTGAACTTGTTGCGACAATACATTTACAAACACCTCACCCTGAGCTTGTTGCGACAATACATTTACAAACACCTTACCCTGAGCTTGTTGGGACAATAGATTTACAAACACCTTACCCTGAGCTTGTTGCGGCAATACATTTACAAACACCTTACCCTGAACTTGTTGCGACAATAGATTTACAAACACCTCACCCTGAGCTTGTTGCGACAATACATTTACAAACACCTTACCCTGAGCTTGTTGGGACAATACATTTACAAACACCTCACCCTGAGCTTGTTGCGACAATACATTTACAAACACCTCACCCTGAGCTTGTTGCGATTGATATTTGTCTTTGATTGCTCCTGATTCTTCAATCGCCCTGCATCCCGGCGTATGTATCCAAGTGATGGGTATCGGGAACATTATACACCTGTTCTTAAAAAATCGCGGAGTTGGCTCTAGTCTCGGTCAGTTGGATTAATCATTTGACTTGACACACTGATTAATGAATTATCTAATGCTTCTTAGAAAAATAAGGTATACATTCTTTTCACTAAAAGAATATCAATATGAAAATATTTAGCTCACAAACAAAGTTGTGTAAATGAAATACATTGTCTGATGGAATTCAGTAATGTACCAAGGGGGTAAAACTATTCAATTTAAAGGTGTAGTTTAATGTTTCTTTACGTCCTTTTAACAGCCAGGGTCATGTAAGGATGTGCCAGGTTTGGTTTGGCTTATTGTTTCTTTACGTCCTTTTAACAGCCAGGGTCATGTAAAGTTGTGCCTGTTATTGGTTGTGGAGGAAAGTCAGACTTTATAGAGATAATTTACTGATTACAGAGCTCCAAAATGAAATGTTTCTACATGTTTTTATAAACAATTTTTCATTAACATCAGATTACATAGTGTCTTGTCCTGATTTAATGTAAGTACTTGGCAAGGAAGACATTTATACCTTATACAGCCATGGGAGATCTTTGGGTATACCTGAAAGTTTAAATTAAAAAAACAAAAAACACAGAACATTTTTTTTGTAAGTGTCAGTTTCTGATTAGTGTTAATGAAAGTCTCAACAGACAGGTTCTCTGCTTGACAGTTTGACCCTAACAGCAAAATATGCTTTCAAACAAAAGCAACAAAACAAGATGCTGGAAACTTTTGTAATTATATATATATATATATTTGTTTGCATATATATATATATATATATTTGTTTGCAATTAACTAGTTATCTTTAATTGATATTTGGTATATATATATATATATTTGTTTGCAATTAACTAGTTATCTTTAATTGATATCTGGTAAATGATCTTATGAAAGGTAAGATTAACCATTCAGTATAATTAGGCTGTGACCCGGTCAGAGTGTTGGCCTATATAACCTCAGATGAAAATCCTGAGTTGCTTAGTTTGATGTTCTCTTACTTGGTGGTTCACTTAATGTTTCTCAGTGAGCTGAAAAATAGACTGGTCTGTTGTGGTTTGTGTCCCAGTGCAAGACACCATATCATAATTGATCTGGATGGCTTTTGATGGGCCTCCGGTATGTTGTTCAGTGAGGTTAGCCACTGGCTAGTACAAGGAGACCTATCTCAAAGTATCATTGGCTATCCATGGGCAATATAACTCAACAACCAACATTTCAGTTTAAATATTAGAATTTCCTGAAGAGTAGAAAAGATTTTTTTCTGACAATTAAGGGCAGGAATATTTTTCATGCAATGATCAACAATTTACATATACTATTTCTAATACACAAACTGTCAGATTTTCACAGCCTTCAGATGTTACTTAATGTAAACAAATTCACCAGTTTTATGGTTAAAGTGGCAAAGTTTTTGTCATGCCTCTCTCCCTAAATATCAAATACAAGGATCAGAAATCTGTGAAGGTTGTCTGGAGAATTTGATGATTTAACACATAAACAAATGTTTATACTTTCTGAAAAAAAACTTACTAACATTTCTGAGTATTATATATATATCAATTTGTGTGTATATGTAGCTGGGGAGAATTTAGGCAGGTTGGTGGCAGAATTTGATGATTTAAAGTGTAAACAAACTTTAACATTTATGATTGTAAGATTGTGCAGCTGCAGCTAACTGTGGGTTTTAGGGGAAGCTTAATGGACATGCTAGTCTGAATGACTGAAATGTAAACCTCAAACCAAGTATTAATCAGTGTTCCACACGCTTACATAGGTCATCACAAGCAGGAGGTCCAGACACATTAAGTATCCCTCACTTCCTGTTCAAGATTCACCAACAGATTCCCAAACAGATTTAATTCACGTTATAAAAAGACTACAGGTTTTCATATTAGTTGAAAACTTGTATGTTTTATCAAAGTTTATGATATTATAGGCATCTATATTGAAGTATCTACATGCGAAATATTTGATTTGAAGTGGAAATACTTGAAATTTCGAAAATTAACTCTAGGATTCAGGGAAAGTTTTCAAAGTTTGTCTAGGTTATGCTAGAAGTGTTAAAATGACAATTTTTTGTATTTTGATGGATTAAAAAAAATGTTCGTGTCAATATTTTTTTTAAAACATCAATTTTCCTTTTTGTATTTTGATAGATTTAAAATAACATACATGTCAATAGTACATTGTATCATCTGTAATTCACTTATGTCTTTCTTATGGTAAAATGTTGAGGTATAAGGCAGTTATTACAATCCCCATACACCAATGAGCATTAGTCTGGAAAATCAACCCAGTTAGCATAACTTTAGGGTAGGTTTGTGACATTTGGTTCATAAATTGTAATTGTACACCAACATCTGTAATAGCAGTCTTTTAATTGCACAAAATTTAATTTATTTTCTGGTTGTAAAACTGTTGAAATAATGAATGAAAAAAGTTTACAGACTTTTCAAAACATTTGCAGTATAAAAAGTGTTTTGGACTTTAAATGGTTTGTAAGTGTTCTGCTTGCTGCATTCACAGAGCAATATGTTTGGATGTAGCGTGGGAATTGTATAGATTTATTAACTGTTGTGTTGGTATGGCTATGATGATTAGTGGGTGGACTCGCTGATTAGAAACATGTCAAACTTAACCGCAGAGGGTGGAGCTGTTGGTGAAGATCGTGGGTGGAGTTTGTGATGGACTGTGTTTTCATTCAGTTGATTCAGCAGTGGCAGGTTTTACTGGTGGGGATAGACTTTATATTGCTACTGGTGATGAATGTTTGACTTTCGTGGATGGATGCTAACTTGGGGGATTGTTGCAGAGTTTCTGGTGGAGTCATATGAAAGTTTATTGCCATTGATGTTCTGATCTGATCAGTGTCGTTGGAGATCTTGCTGACATTTACAAATTTAAATTTGTCATGGCATTGGAATTTTCGCACAGGAATTCTTTGACCATTAAGTGTGGTCGATGACTTGAAATTATTTGACAATATTGACTGGTTGTGACAATGAAGTTATTTGAACGTCAGTGGAATACTTTACCTTCTAGGTTGGCTCATTTTGACTATGTCAAAGGAGAAGATTTGGAAAAGATTGGCATGGGCAAGCCAGCCATCCGTCGCCTCCTGGACACGGTGAAACGCAAAAGGACATCAAGGAAGTCGCGCATCTTAGAAAAGGTAAGTGACATGCATGTGAAGAATATCATATCTGATATTACCATGATTATTCTTGTGTCCTGTCAGCAACGTTTATTTTTGGCGGACTATTTTTCTTTTCTTTGAAAAATCACAGAGATGAGACTTTGGTGTTACTTCTCCCGTGTCGTTGACTTTGTGGTAACTTTTCATTTATCATAAAAGTCATATTTTTGTCTCCATTCTGGTGACGAGTGACATTTTTAGGGTAAAAATATCATACTTAAGTGAGTTTTGAGAGTTTGAGAATTTCCTAAATTTTCATTTGATATTTTACAAAGGCATCAATATTTAAACAAAACAACATAGCTTATATTATCTAAAGTTATATTTAGGGGAGGGAGAGATTCATTTTGGTATGTTATTCGATTCAGTTTTAAATATTTATATTAACAAAAGACAGACGTTAAAGATACATAATTGCTCCTAATTTAGATTTTAAAGCTTTGTATATTTTACATCAATTGTGCAACAAGTCACTCCAACTTGTAGTAATTGTGACAGAAGTCACTACAATTTGTAATAATTGTGACAGAAGTCACTCCAACTTGTTGTAATTGTGCAACAAGTCACTCCAACTTGTAGTAATTGTGACAGAAGTCACTACAATTTGTAATAATTGTGACAGAAGTCACTCCAACTTGTAATAATTGCGAAAGAAGTCACTCCAACTTGTAGTAATTGTGACAGAAGTCACTACAGCTTGTTGTAATTGTGCAACAAGTCACTCCAACTTGTAGTAATTGTGAAAGAAGTCACTACAATTTGTAATAATTGCGAAAGAAGTCACTCCAACTTGTAATAATTGCGAAAGAAGTCACTACAACTTGTAATAATTGTGAAGTAGTAATTGTGACAGAAGTCACTCCAACTTAAAGTAATTGTGACAGAAGTCACTACAACTTGTAGTAATTGCTTTTGTTGGGGTGGCTGGGATTCGCCACTGGGATATACTATACACTTTATTTCTAAACAATCGTGACCAGGTGACTGATTGTTCTGGTTGACAGACAAGTTGGACATCCATAACAACTGTGATATCTGACCACCTAAGTACAACTGATACACACAAATATCATCGTTTAACGATGTGATTGTTAAAAAATAAGAGTCAACCAGAATTATGAGCAATTACGAGGTGTTCGGATGGTGCAGAGGTAATGCACTCGCCTTTTCTCGAGGCATGTGTGTATGTTTAATTCCTAGAACGAACATAAAAAGGTATAGAATCTGCCCGACTGGTGGATATTCCACCAGTATTCGGATTTTATTCCTTCCTCGTTAAGATCCCCTTTGCGAATCCCAGCCACAATTAAACTCTAGTGCTCTGAGCAACTAATTGTAATTTTGTCTTTTTGTAAATTGATCCATGTCATGATATCAAAGTCCGAAACCACTTTCATCACAAAGATAAAAATAAGGTGATCATGCATGTTCACTTGAAAGCTTGTCATCAGCCTTATTTACTGAGAGCTCTTCTGAATGTTCATTTACATTTCTTCTGGACAGAACTTTATTAAAAAAATTTGAGTGTCATGATTTTTTTGTGAAAACCTAGATTGGATGTTTATCAGTGATTTCCTGCTTTTCCATGATGATGTTCTGTCAAGTTCCTTAAATATGTATACACATTCTGTTAGCACTGACTTTTAAGATTTGAAATTGATATCTATCCATTGTGGGTTTCACATCGATATTCCTTTGGTATGACAATAAGTCTGAAAAAGTCTTTCTCATTAGAAATCTTTCACTGGATTTTGTTCCTGTTGTTACTAAATATTAGCTAAATATAACCATGTTTTTGTTGATGGGGCCTCAGCGGAGGTTCGTGGTTCGCAGCTCCGTGACCATGGTGGTTGTTCTCAAGAAACTGAGAAATTTACTTATTTGTAGTTAACTTGACTTTGTCCTTTGGCAAGTTACTTTACCCTAATTTTTCTTCATGGCATAAAATGGGCCTCTTGTATGTTGTTCAGTGAGGTTGCCACCTACAACTACAAAGAAACCTGCCTCAAAATGACATTAGCTGTGCATGGAATGATAACAAATACGTTGGTAGGTTTAATATATCTAAGAATTGTACATGCATTTGAAAAAAAGATTATGTGTTCAAATTTCTGTTATAGATTCTGCCAAGCACCAAACCTTCTGAAAAGTCCAATGGAAGCAACAGTAAGAAAGCATCAGGTTCTCCGGTCAAGTATACAGGCGACCACACCCTCACATGTCTCATCAGTGAACGGTCACTAGAGCTGACGGTCAAGCTTGGTAACGGATCATTTGGTGTGGTTAGAAGAGGCTCATGGACAACACCATCAGGAAATAAGGTGAACTATTGTTTTCATTTTCTATCATGTCATTAACATATATGTATATCTGATTAAGGATAAATATTACTTCTTCATAACGTGCATACCTCCTTTCAAAAGAGTTCATCATGAAAAATTATCGTAAAATATCTTTATCATTAGTTGTAGTGCAATTTGGCAGAAGTAAACCCATGTTTAATAATAAGCCCACTAATTGGCTATTAAATAATATTGCATTAGGATGGATTACTGAAAGATGTCCTCTGCCCTCACTAGGACTCAAACTAGTGACCTGAAAACAATTTACCATTTGGCTAGATAGATATTCTCACCAGATGGCATGCAGTATCAAAGCAAGCTCTAAATCAAGACGACACCCTACCACAAGGCTAGGGAAAATTGAGTCACTAACCAGTGTTAAGATTAGCAGTACTCTCAACTTCTACAGAATAACCAACATTTTTGTTGTCCAGTATTAAGCCCACCCCCTGACTTTGAGTAAGAAGTAATGCGTTTACCTACCGACCATGGGCTTATTGCAATACTGTATAACACTTTACATTTTGCAAATAACATTTACTTGTGTTTTGATATCAAATTTTGGTGATCCCTGATAAACACCCCAAAAAGCAAATCTATCATACCCATGCAAAATATCTTACATCTGACGTTGTGATGACTGCCCTACCACCTGGTTATATCACATAGATGCCTCAGGTGAACGTCTAAGGTGTGTATTTCAATGCTCCCTACCCGTGGCTGTTTGTGTTTCTCACGAAGCTAAGATATGGAGAATCTGTGCTGACATGGTTGTGTCCTTCAGTAAGACACTTTATCCTTATTTTATTGTTGATGAGATGCAGACCTCCCATATGATGTTCAGTGAGGTAGCAAAAAACTACTACACCCGCTTCATCCTTGATCACTTTAGAAATAAAAAGCTTGTGCACACAAACCCCTGAACAGTTATTTATCATTCAACTGGTGCTGTCATTGTCGGAATACACCTGCCACATATATTTTTGCTGTTTTTGGCAGTATTGGAAAACAGCTGTATTTTAGCATGTGCAGTAATTGGACATAATCACTTTCTGAATTTACTTTAAAATTACATTTAAAGATATGATATCTCTTGAAAAACCATTTTTATATGTTGTAATGAACAACTTTATTTACGGGACAGAAAAACATGAGTGGCTCACCAGAGGCCTGCCACTGCTGTCTTTCGTCACTTTCTGCAAAATACAGCTTATATTTCAAAACACTAACATTTCTCTATATTTACACATAGCATCACAACACCAAGGGCTACAAGTGGTTACATCTTGGTGGTCATTGATTAGGGTTAAAAGGTCAAAGGTCACCTTCAATGAATCTACAAATAAAAAGCTTGTGTATAAGTTGGAGGTTACCTGGTATCTGAGCCCCTGTTCATTTTGTTTATACTATACTGTTGTATAAATAAAGGCGTATAGACATCACCACCATCTCTTGTAATCCAACAACAGCGGCAAGCAAACCTTGCTGTTTGAAGTAATTTTTTGATCATATTGATTCAGTTTGTCCTCATGGAAGCCAAATGTATTGATCTCTATCAATGTTATGTAAGAGTTATTCTGACAGTAGAGAAATCATGTCTATAGCTCAGTGCCCAACTGTGTTGTTATATTGTGCATTTACATTTTACTACCTGATCCCTAAAACCATATTGAACCCAACTTAAATGATTGAGTTGTTTCTTCCATAATACTTTCGGGGGGAGGGGGGATGTAAGGAGTGGACTATTGATTTTGTAATCATGAATGGGTTTTTTGGCAATAAACTAGTTTATTCCACATGGCAGTGCTGAGTAGATCTTTTGCAGAAATATGCCAATTATTTTCTTTTTGGCCTGTAATATTTTTGTCAAAACGTCTTTAAAGAAAAGGCACTGAAAAGAGACTGTAGTGTTCTTTGTATGGTGGTGGTACCTGCTTTGAATTTCCATTCTAAGTTTTGCATTCAAAGATCTGTTATGGGATCAAGTTAAACAGAACTTGGGGTATAGCTAAATCTCATAGTGGACATCTCACCTCAAGAAATCCATCATTTACAAAATAAATTTAAGATTTTATGATCCAGCAATGCTTAAAAGTTAGGGATGCTAGTAATATTTACTGAAAAGTTTTGTCTAAATTTTAGTGTGTTTCAAACATTTTGTTAAAAAAATTGCTGTACTTATTATGTATAGGTAATATGGTTGACAAACGCCTCTGGTCAGTGTTTATAAATTTAAAAATCCCTCCCCACCCCTTAATGGCAGGGTCCATGGTCACCAAATCATGTTGAGTCTATTAATCAGAGGGTCCATCTATCTGTTGTCTGACAATCCTTAATATCGTTATTTCTTGAGATAAACTGGAGGGATCATTATCCAATTCCATTTGAAGGTTTTCATTGATCTGTAGTTGTGCTATTTTCAATTTTGGTTATGAAAGGTTTTTTTTTTTTGTTACTTTGTGAGGAAAACTGGATGGATGTTTTTCAGATTTTATACGTAGGTTCCCCTTAGTTCACTTGTTTATTTTCAGAGAAATCAGAAAAACAAAACAAAATGACCGACAGGTTGTCATCTTGGATTTGAAGATTGAAGATAATTATTTCCATTTCTTATGAGAATTTTCAAATTGCATATTATTAAGCAAGGGAATGGAGAAAGAATAGAAGAGAAAGGAAAGGTTCCAAGTTTTGAAGAAGAAATAGATACCAAACCATTGGGGATACTGAGATCCCTCTGGGACCTCTTGTTATCATTTTCCCCTATAATAAGCCCATCAGGGCCCTGAAATTTATCTCTATCACAGATTAGGGGAGCTAGCTTATTACCAGACATGGGCTTATTTCCAGGTAAAAATGGGAAGTTATTTTTAGGACAGTCAACAAGTTACCTTATTGACGGTAATAACAAAGTAATACTGTATGTAACGACGTAGTATCATACAGATTTTATTTGATGAAGAAATGTTTATCATATAATTTAAGTGTGAACATTATCGTGTTGTAAAACATTTTCGGCAAAACTGCTGTTCGATATCTTCTTTGTGTTAATATTATCATTTCCAGTGAAAATATGAAGTTGTTTGAATAAAAAAAAACCTATTGCAGCTTAGGAATTCTACTGATTTCAAAAGCCAGAAATAAAGTTGAGAAATTAGAAATTCCACTTCAAAATTAGTGATAAAATGCATACAACCCAAAAATAAAGGATGTTTAAAATCCATAAAAACAGGGCATGGTCAGGATGTAATATCTTAAATATGATGTTTACGAACAAACTGATATGTTATGCACAATATATAGCTACATTGTATACACCCAGTATCAGCCAGGGGATGTTAATGTTTCGGTCTTCAGATTTCCTCACTTTCCTACACGATGCACCTGGGCCTGGTATAACATAGTTAAGGCAATCTTATCATCATTTCCTGTGCTAATTTGAAGTTCCTTTAAACACCATGCAAATATATCTTTCAAATTGGCAGAAAAAAATTGTATAGTTTTATAATCTGTTAATTTGTATTCATGTGCTGATAAACGTATATTTTTTGTACTTTTTTCTTCAAATTAAAAGGTTTTTGATGTTTAAAAAGCTGGAGACTGTTATAATGGCCATGTTGTTTATGAATGAAGTGATTATACGTAGACTGCAGTAGATCACCCATAAGCGTGAAGATACAAGCCCAGCCCAGGAAATAATCAAAAACATCAAAAGAAAAATAATTGAAGCATTAATGAAAAGACATTGATTGATAATACTATATGTATAAGGACATGCAATGAAACATAGATTATTAACCAGAATTTATATATGAAAACGATTATTTTATTTTTATGCCTCAAAGTTCAAAGATTGGTGGACATATTGTTTTTGGTCTATCTATTTGATACCACATTTATGACCTTGACCTTTTGGCCTACTTATTAGCGTGATAGTTTCCATCAATTTAATTGGAATCTTTTTTGTCAGTTTTGACTCATTATAATATTAACTCATGACTCTGTATTGGAATAAAATGACAGGTAATTATGATGAAATATTCTGGACTGTTTCGTTTTCATTTTTCCTAAATTTAAACAGTACATTTAGCATTGAGTTGATTGTTAGATAATGTATTACAAGAAGGATTTATTGGGTGGGATTGTTGGGTAAACTTTATTTATTTTACAACAATTGGGAAACAAGTTATTTCAACTTATGTTAATCACTCTTGTTGGCCCGTATGTAAGCACGCGAGGGGTATTGTTGCTCCACTATCTTGACAGGATGTAGTTTATAGATCAAAATATCTTGTTAACCAATCAATGAGCAGGAAGCTGTTTGTATTCTGCTATGAAAGTTGAAGCAACCCAGTTTTTTTATAGCTAATCAGAGATGTAGTTTGTTGTTGTTTCAATTTCTGTATATACACTACCACAGAGTGTTCACTAGGCAATGAAATATGAATTAAAGTACACACTTTGATAAGAAAAGTGATGTAGTTTATCAATGATTCTGATCCAATGATAAATAAATTATAGGTACAGAGTGGGTCATTGGGTCGATGGGTTTTAGTGCAGTATCTAGTTTACACGTGATAGAGTTTGACATCGAGTGTGTTCTGACATCAGGTTGGGGTAGGCATCACTATAATCTAATGATCTGGCACTCCTAAACAGCTGACGTGTTGATGTAGGATCACTCAAAAGTTTGATTTCCATTTTTTTGCTGGAGAAGATAAATGTAATTTGAAACTTTGAGGACACACCAAGCATGGCAGGTTTATAGTGGGGCTGTGCTTTCACTTACGCAGGCATCATGTGAAATATTGATGAACGTTATTTGTACTGTTAAGTTTACATGCACTATATACATGTATATAGAGAATGCAGATTTTGAAAATTTAAATTATATGGTACTCTGACTTATGAGCTTACATTATAACTCTTTTGTAAATGGAAATTGTGTTCATAGAATAAAAGTTCTTATAACACAACCAGGAAAAGAATAGAGTGTGACATTTTGATGACTACATGGTCACCTTCATCATTAAACAAAGCATAGCAGAATTGACTACAGTACATTGGTACCATCTTGAGCATTTTTTTGTCTATGATCTGTTTACCACCTTGTCACACTATTTTCGATCCGAGTATACATAGGATTATAGTATAGCCAAAAAAGTTGGTCGATTCCCTACCATCTTGTATACTACATACATCAGTGCTAGTATGCTCCAGACTGGTCATTTGTCTGATGAAGATGACCGTGTAGTCATTGAAAAGTCACAAGAATTTCTGTTCTATTGACATTATCTACCTGAAGAAACTGTTCCAAAAAAGGAAATGGTGTTCATTTTGTGATTGTGTTTAGGATCAACAACAGCACATACAACAATAGAAGGAAAACACCTCTAAAATAAAACTGTACGGGGGTGCTTACTAGAATAAATACCATATTTATACTGTGACAAGCCCTGTGAATGATATGACTGTGAATCATTGGGTATGCTTTTTATTGAAAATAGCATTAGCCGCTTATTCTGCTAAACAACAACAAATATGAATGAGCTTATTACCAGACATGGGCTTATTGTCAGATAAACACAGTGACCTAATTTCTGATGTGATGATGAAACACCATGTTTTGACCTAATTCTTAATCTGTTAGAAAAAAAGAACATGTTTATAAACAAAGTTCATAAACTTTCATAAAAGTATAATCAACAACAGTTGAACTGTTCTTTCAGTATCAGAAATTTGTTTCTGATAATAAGAACCTTAATTTGTTTCAAAGGAATATTATTTCTTTCATCTTTTTCAAAAACATAATCTGAAAATTTGTTTGTCTGTGTGTGCACATGGACAAGACCATAGCTTCGACTATCCCCAGAGTCAGGAACTAGTTTTAAGAGACAGATATTGGTGAAAATATAACATGAAAAAAGGTGCTGATATATGGTATATATAGATAAAGTGCTCGGTAGACATTGATACCCCATTACACATTCCACAGTTCAGCGATAAACCATATCTTTTTTGTTTTTCGCGGTTGATTATGATCATTTCAAAATGTCTATTACCTTTTTTTTTGAGTTTTCAAAATTGATAGGCTGATACAATAACTGACAGCCTGCAGTTATGCTTAAGTGAAATCACTTGTTGTAAGGGAAGGCACGATTCCTACAGATAAGATGTTTACTTCCAATCTTAACAGTCATTCGTCTTTTACGAGTCTCGGAATATGTCGGTCAGACGATAAAATTTTTCTTAAAAAAAATGACTTGGTTGACAGAGTTATATGTTTTTGTACATTTTTTTAAACATTCCAGATAATTTGTATGTTGCTTCCTTCAGATAGTGTGTGTGTGTCAAATTTTATTTCTAGATATTCTTTTTACAATATACCAACACAGTCCACATAGTCTACATGTGCAGCATTCACTCTTTCCATCTGTCACACTTGAATGGTTTGGCATGTTTAGGTCTAGATCTCATGCAATACATTATGCATTTATGCTGCTGATTGGAGTGAAATATGAAGATTTATTTATCAAAGTTGACATATATATCGAGCCAGCATAAGCAAGGGCCATAAATTGTCTTAAGTGACACTTTCAGGCTTACAATTTCCAGTTGCTTGAAGAGTTTTGTACAATTCAAAGTTCAGGTTCTTGCAGAAATTTCCTTTAAACAGTTCTAATTTGTGATTTTTTAAAAATATCGTTTTTAAGAATCGGATTGATTTTGATGACTTTTCTATTATAAGACTTATCCATCGTTTGTTTGTCTGTCATTTTGTAAGAAATCAGAACTTATGGTCCAAGACCCATAACTCCTACCAACTCTAAAGACAGGTTACAAATAGGGGGAGGGGATGTGCACAATGGGTTGACCTTATCACAAGAGGACATGATATTACATTTTGTAAATGTCATCAAATCAAATACACTGTTATATAAGTGAGGTATTCACGTAGAGTGATTGTGGTTGTTTTAGGACGATGATATGTTTCATAGTTTCTCTGAATTAAGTTTGTTAAAAAAAATATAAAAAGTAAAACACTTAAACCCAAATTACTCACATGTTTCTGAAGCTGATTAGATTTAATGTTGATCCCCATTGGTCAAAGTGGTGATAGGAGCATGTCATTACTTGTAGATATATTTTATGTTGTTGTTAATAAAACACCAAACATCTGTCACACGATTCTAAGGGAAGTAACCACAGTGTCGTTTTATTTACTGTTATAGATTCCATTAAGACATGGTCTATATGTACTGGGAGAGGTTTTAGTAAAATGTTACTGATTCTGATCTCAGATATATAGCACAATTAGTACCAACCATATAACACACAAAATAACACACATCATATACACTGTGTCATCATGTAATGTGTTTATTTTACACCTAGCTGTGATTGGCTGAAGTTTCAATTGCTTCATTTGTGACATCATATCTGTAAGATGACATCTTTAATGCATCGTAATGTCAACTTGATTGGTGTCATGTATTGATGCATCATAGATATGATATCAAGGAACAATTCATAACTTTTCCAATCCGAGAAAATTATAATACATTGAATTCATTACATTGCTAAGAAAGATGAACCAAAATAAGTGGCACAAATACTGATGATATTGAGAGAAAAAGTCACCAATTTCGATTTTAAATCAGAGAGTTTTATGTTGAATTATTTGAGATTTATGAAACTGTTTACTTCATTTAACCATGCCAGTCAGACTCAGTATTAGGAATTATGTAATTGCTTGTAAGTTTCATATAATTGGAAACACATGGCTTCATACATATGTAACTTGAGATACTTTGAGTGATATCACACAATTATACTTGATACTTTTCCATTTTCATTGCAGTAGATTTGTATATTATTTCTTATGTTAGCTATTTGTTTTTCATTACAGAAAAGTGTCGCCGTTAAGATCCTCAGAAATGATGCTTTGTCTCAGCCAGGTGCCTTTGAAGATTTTGTGAAGGAAGTGAATGCCATGCATATGCTGGACCATCCCAACCTGATACGACTCTATGGAATTTGTCTTTCCTGTCCCCTTATGATGGTAACGTCTGTTCATGTATTAAAACTGTATCTATATTTATTTGATAACAATGAGAAACAAGTTATTAAACACTATTGTTTGCCTGTATGGAAGGGGTTTTATTGTGGGAGGGAATTGAGGTAACTGGTTAAACCTATGTAGTCAGACAGGTGACAATCAAACACCTATTGCATTGGTGAAAGACACCATTCAAGCATTAAAGATGTATCTATTTCTAGTTATCTTCTCTTTCTGCCACTCGGATTTGTGTTGCCTTGGTAACATTTCCTTGTATCCCTGAAAGTATCATTAAGATATCTAAAACATTTCTCAGATTAACAATAATATCATTCTATTCTCCTTCCTTTCAGTCTTAAAGATTTGTTGACAAAATGGACAAAATGTGTTTCATAAAACTACTAAGACTACTTAAACTGCTGAAACATCAACGGTTATACAAACATGCTGTTTGTCTCTTCTACTAAGAATACATCAGAATACATTCTATCTTGTCTCCATTACTACTGGGACATGTGTTTTACCTACCACTATATTGATGATCTTTCCTTAGGTGACTGAGCTGGCACCAGGTGGCGCCCTTTTGGACAAGTTACGCAAGGAACAGGAGAAATTGTTGATCAGTACTCTGTGCGAGTATGCCATTCAGATCGCCACCGGCATGAGTTTTTTGGAGTCTAAGAGATTCATACACCGTGACCTTGCCTGCAGGAATGTACTACTAGCATCAGAAGACAAGGTATGGTGAATGTCCATTCATAAGTATGTATGTATGCTACAGAAGGATTACTAATGTGGATTTGAAAAAAGAAAAATATATATGTATGTATATGTATATATGTGTATGTTAACCCAATTGTATATGTTATGCATTAAAAGTATGTAGTCAGGATTGGTCAGTTGGTATAGTGTTGGTATATAAATCCTTGGGTGAAGATCTGAGGTGTGTGGTTTGATGCTTTGTACCAAACATGATTGGTTTTCCTTAGGATACTTAGTAATGAACTGGTCTGTGCAGTCATGGTTGTGTCCCTTGGCAAGAACTATTCCCCCAAATGCTGAGAGTGTCATGAAATAAGCCTCCTGTGTGTTGCTTAGTGAGATAGCCATCAGCTACTATAGGAAAAGGTGTCTCAACATGGCCCTGGTTGTTGGCAAGTAATAAACCCAGCAAACAGGCAAAGCTACTTAAAGTTAGAATTCATATATATATTTTACCATTTTTTTACCATATCAACAATTTGATGGAACATTTCATTCGACATAAATATCAAAGATGTCTGATGAAAAATTGTATAGCTTATTCTATCTATATGATTACTCATCCTTTCAGATAAAGATTGGAGATTTCGGATTGATGAGAGCACTCCCCAGTCAAGAGGATCACTATGTCATGTCAGAGCAGAAAAAAGTACCATTTGCCTGGTAAATTACACTGTATTTTTGGTCTTTGCTAGTGTTACAGTTGTTTTTAAAGAATTTGCATTTTAGAATTGTTAAATGTTGCCTAATCTTATTTTGTATCAATGAAAGATTTTATAAACAAGATATTTTGATGGTTTCTGTAACGGTATGAACATCAACAGTATCCATAGTAGTGAAAAGCAGGGAAACTAGAAACAATCTGAACACATATCTTAATTGCAGTATTTTGTTATGATCCATGAACATTCTGCAATGACTAAAATTTTAATACTTTTTAAATATAGTGAATAAAGTTTAATAATTGCTTAAATTAGGTTACCCCCTCCCTCCCCAAGTCTCCTCTTTCTCACAAGAAAATGAACTGTAGTTACCTCCCTTACCTGATTCTATTTCCATCTTGTTCCGCCTGTAGGTGTGCGCCAGAGAGCTTGAAATCTCGCCAGTTCTCACATGCCAGTGATACCTGGATGTTTGGGGTGACACTGTGGGAGATGTTCACATATGGACAGGAGCCATGGATGGGTTACAATGGATCACAGGTGGGCATTAGGAAATTTTTATGGTCAGATTTTTAAAACAATTTTGCTTTCATAAAGATGATTATAGAGACATTTGAATGAAAAAATACTTAACTATTTCCCACAGGGAACAAAGTTCTTCAAAAGAAACCTATTTGTGAAATTTCAGTTTTATTCTCACTGAGCCCAAATGATTATTTTTTATAAACCTTCTATGAAATTGATTGTGAAAACATTTAATATTATTTCTTACTCATTGCATCTTTGAAAGTCTATCGAATAGGAATTAAAACAATTGTATACATTTTTTGTTTGCTCATATATATATGATAAATGAAATATTTTTTCTGCTGTTACAGATTTTACACAAGATTGATGTTGAAGATGAAAGACTACCAAAACCTGCACATTCCCCAACTGACATTTACCAACTCATTCTGCAGTGTTGGTCATACGAGGCAGAGAGACGACCCACATTTGTGGCTCTGAAGGATTTCCTGACTGAGGTACAGTAGTACACCATGATTCTAAAAACACTTCATTGAAAAAGATAATTCATCTGGATGGAACGATTTTCAGGTTAAAGTCATACATTATATGGGGAATTTATCTGTACGATAATATTTTGTAGAAAGGTGAAATAGTATTTTCTTTTACTGCAAAAACATTTCATACTGTTTAAATAAATAAGTAATATATCCCGTGTTTTTTGTAAAGGTGAGACCACCTGATATGAAGGTCACTCAAGCTTTCTGTGAGGTCGGTAAACTTGAGATTGAGGAAGGCGATTATGTAACAGTCATTGATGGCAGGTATGTACAGCAATAACTTTTTAAAAACATCTCATCCTCCTGTAAGTTTTAGAATTATCTCCCTTGAAACACTTGCAATTTTGAGATGATACAGAAAAAATCAGAACTACATAAGTAACAAATGCTTTCTTTTCAAACGTTCTGTTGTCTAATCTATCATTCTGAATTAACAATGTATTTAGTAAACCAAGATCTCTATAGTAAATCCTGTAGATATATTAATTGTGAGAGAATTTGTGCGATGAATCAAGTAAAAAACAGAAAATACTAATTTGTAATCTAAGAATAGACTCCTTTTATCCCCCACCATGTTATATGAGAGTGGAGGACATATTTGTGTTGGTGTTATGTATATTTTTCTGTCCAATACTGTATACTACCATTGTGCTACTTCCATCTCATTCTAAATCAGTTTTATATCTATGGAATCTCTCAGCTGATCTGGTTCATATACACCCTGGTAATATCATGACATCAAGTTCTAAACCTAATACTATTAAGGTTATCAGTCAAGGTCAAAGGGTCAAAGGTTACATTTCGCAACTTATGCAAATTCATCAAACAATGATCTTGTGCATGGTAGTGGAGGTATTTAAATCTTAAGAGATATTTTCCGGTTTTAATACAAGATGTTTACTTTACAGACCAGATTGTTACTGGTGGAGGGGCCAGAACAAGAGGACAACCAGAATTGGTACATTCCCACGTCAGTGTGTGGACCCTCAGAGACGTCTCGCTAGTAAGTCATCTCGTAGTTGTCATTTTACATACTGTTATCAAATATAAAATCAAGTCTTCTTCTTACTTCAGATTCTGTATGAACTCAGTCAATATTCCATAACAACAAAACTGAAACCTGAAAGAATTTTATGTGGAGAGTGATCTTGAAGAATTTTATCACCACATCAAAAAAAATCGCTCTTGTCTTTAAAACATATCAATAGTGTTTATCATTAATTTTTGGCATCATACAACACATGTCAGTACTTATGTCATCACTGTGAAAGTTAATAGTAAATAAAACAACTTTAATCTTTATCAAACAAGCAGAAGTTTCTTGAAGGAGATTCTACTTATTTTTTACTACAGTTGGATGCAGAGTAGACACATCTGTTTTGATATTTTGAAACTTCTTCTTATTGTATGTATCAGTTATTAATTTCTGTTACTGACAGCAGAGAGGTTATGTTTCAGGCAATGATATCAGCAAGCCACTGAAAAACAGTTTTATACATACTGGTCATGGTGATCCAGGCGGCAAGAACTGGGGGGATCCAGGCAAGATTGATGAGTATGTATAAATAGGCTTCCCTGAATTTCTGTAAACATTTATGTTTCAGTAATGATCTTGTTTTAGCACTTTGCGAGCTGTAATTGTTGTGCTATAACATAACTGTGCCAATAGCAGTTTCTATATGCTATGTAATACTTAATATTGTGGATGTGCCAATTTATCATTGTGATAATTTGCTAAAGTTTGATTGCCCACTGAATTATGATCATGGTTCCCGATTGACTCTAAGGTCCATTAGATTTTTAGCCTACCTTCAGCTAGATCGAATCACCCTATGTCCGTGGTCTTTTGTTCTTCTGTAAACAATATTTGTTATTGCTTTTTCTTGAGATGTACCTGATAGATCTTTCTCAGATTTCATTTGTCAGTTCCCTGTAGCCCCTATTGTGCCTTTTTACTATTTGGAGTGATTAGAAATACAATAATGGCTGACAGAGACCATCTTTGGTTTGGCAGTTAAAAAATCATTATCAGTATTTCTTGAGAAAAATGTTTAAATTTCATATAATTCAAAGCAAAAAGATAGGAAAAGAGAGAAAAGGAGGGGAAAGGTTCATCTTTTAAAGTGGAAATAAAGATCAAGCAATGCTTGTATCAAAATCACTCTGGGACCGATTGTTGACATAAATCATGTCTGTCATATCAAGGTTGAATAAAAAAGGAATGGACTCTTAAAATATTTCAAGATATTACAGGTGGCTTGTACTTGAATCAATGCATGGCAGAACTATTAGGCTTCTTATCATATAGAGATAGTGTTTTATATTGATTTATCTTGTAATAGTGCTCTGGTATAGTAATTTTCTTTAACAGGGTGTAAAAATGACTTAAGTTGGAGCCTAATGTTTTGTTTTTACATCTTGCCTATAAACGAGTGTTTAATGTTGGTCATTTATTATATAGATTAGCATTAGCCTTGTTTTTTTTCTATGACAGAGTTTACCTGAGGAACCCAATGGAGCCACCTGACCTCCAAGAAGTTGTTCATGATGTTCGTCCAACGCAGCTTCCTAGTCGCAGTAAAAGTAGTGTTAATTTTTGTTATGTCTGAAAATAATAATTTCTTTCATTATGTTGAAATGAAGGTACCTGAATATCTCAAAACGTTTTTTTTCGATTCACTTCTTTCATTAATTAGTCCCCTACCAGTGAAACATTGTTTAAGTCTGTACTTTAGAGTTATCTGCCCTTGATAAGCGGGAATTGATTTTTTTTTGTCATTTATTTGTGAGGATGGCATCATGATAGAATGACAAATTTTCTTATACCAACTTATGACGTAACAGTTAATGTCTGCTCACTAGAGTAGATAACTCTGAATTACGAAAAGACAGAATACCAGAGATCAAATCTTATCCTCTCAACCCGTTACAATACTAGGGATTGAATGGTCTTAAAGAGTTCACATCGAACATTCTTTTCAAACTTTCATTTATTTTATGTTGACTACTTGGCGACTTAAAAAATCTTCTGTGTAAAGAAAAAAAAATTATAATATGAAAATTGCACAGGCCCAATAACAAAAATGAATACCTGAAATGTGTGACTTTCACTTTTACAGGGCCATTTACCAATCAGTTCAAGATGTTCAACTATAATAAGTTGGTTAACGAAGAATCCGGAAGTGCTTTTAAACCCACGGCAGTAGGCAAGGCCACTGCAATAGTAACAGCCACAGCCAGTAATCCTTCTACCCCTACCGGACATGGCAACACATTTCCTAGGGTATCTAAAAGTGTTCCCACGCCTGACGACAAACCTCTGATTGATTTGAGTGATGAGTTAGAGAGTACTGATTCACAATTCGCCATGAAACAGTCAGCACCAAGTACAATATGTTTGTTTGATTCCCTTCTCAACAACTCGGCTACACAATATGGGAATGTTGAGCTTCAGAAACCTTTACTACATGACAACACGACATCATCAGATCCATTTGAGGTGCATAATTCATTAAAAGTGATATTTCCGTCAGGTGTACAGAACTTGTCCGGCGGTGTAAAGGGGACTCAAAGTGTGAACACGTCTGTGAAAGGAACTAATAGCCTGCCTGGTTCCTTGAAACATAATCCCACAAGACCAGCAAGGCATCCTATTGTGTACAGTCGGACACATTCTACAGAGGAAAAAGTGACTAATGTGAAAAAAGAGGCACATTCAGCTGGGGCTCCTGTGCCGCCACCAAGGGGGGATAACTCCGGATATGATACGCAACCAAGTACTGTGAAAAACAGCTCTCAAAGTGCAGCATATGCTGACAAGAGTTATTCTGATTCAGCAGAAGATAAACATGATTCGACAAATGTGCAATCCAACAGTGAATTTCCAGAGAGTAAGATTACCATTTCCAAGTCACCTTGCCATAATGCTTCAGTATCATCACATGTTTCCATGGAATCTAAACAAATTGGTCATTTTGACCAAGGAAACATCGGTGTATGTGAAAAAGACAAAGGAAAAAACTCACAGAAAACTGATCGAGCCTTTGATTGGTTGAAAGATGCAATAAGTAATTTTTCTGTGGCGTCATCAGACAAGCGATGTGTTGGTGTGCCACCTATGTACGATGATGTTCCAGTTGAGGAGCAAAACAACGTCAGTGTAGTCAAACCAAAACCCTGTTTTGCTGGAATGGTTTCGCATAGCTCTATACCCAGGTATGACGAGGTTCCAACCGAAATTGACATTTCTGACATCAAACAGCAGGAGCACTATGCTCCCCAGAGCACGTTCTCAGATGCAATGAGTTGGGATTCATTTGATTCAGACTTTGATGATGACCCTGTGACTGGCAGTCTTGCGGCTTCGGCTCCAGTGGCTGTAACTGAGAAACAACCAGAAAGTGAGGGGGAGGATGCACCCCCTCCCCTACCCCCCAGGGATTACTTGTCGAGTAGTTTGGACACAGGGAGGGGGAACTATTGTACAACTAAAGACAAACCAAAACCTAGAATCTTTCCTATGGTGCAAGATGGGAAACAGTTGAGCCATACTCATTATTTTCTTATCCCATCGCGGGATGAAAAGAAAGACAGTTATTCCCCAAACACTGCGGAAGTCAAACCTTTCATGGTGGACGGGTGCCATGTAGACAATTCGTTACAATATAACAGGTCAACGTCCCGGCATGACTACCAAAATCTCACAGAAGTCCAGATCAGTGCCAAACGTCATTCGTCTGCAAGTGATGATTTGTCTTGGACGGGGATGACAGGAATGAAAGCAATCAACCAAGACACGGATTCTCGTAAATTTTCCCCAAAGAGTAATAAGGTTGGGAATTATCCTGGTCCTAAACGTTCTCAGCCACGCTCCATGCCACGTCCTAGTTACAACACCTCTGTTGATCCAGGCATGATGTCATCCTCACCGAGAGAAAAAGTTTTCCATGTGATGAACAGTGTACTCGGAGTGACGGATGACGAATGTCATGCTGCGCTCTGTCACTGCCACTGGGATATTGAAGAATCCATAAGATACCTCAAGGTGGAACAACTCTTCAGACTTGGGGTCACCTCACGTACACATTGTGAGAGTTTACTTAAAGCATTGAATTGGAATTTAGAACTTGCTAGTTCTGTGATGCTTGATGAACTGAAATCTGCCGTATCTATGGAATCTACTGTGTAACATCATTATTGTTCATTCTGTTACATTTGATTTAATTGACTTTTGTCATGCCTCGTTGGAGATAAAACCATTAATTTGCCTGGTTGTTTTCATTTTTCTTGTGAAAAACATGTTTATCTTTATTGTTCCAGTAACCTAACCAGTTTCCAATCCAACTGGAATTTTTTTCTTTAATTTTTCACTGGAGATGCAGGACAAATTCATCAAAACGATGCATAACTTTTTTAATACATTAATTTTACACACATTACACATCTATGGATTGTCAGGTATTGAATGTAGTGATAGGCAGATCGTTGTAGACCACTTTCAATTGTCAGTGCTATTTACTCTCATTGCTTTTTTTCTTTTAATGAACTCACATTTCTCAGCAACATTGTATGGGAATAGCAACATTATTTTGATAAATTTCAGGGCACTTTCAGTATATTTGAAACAAGATTTCTACCACAGCAGGTAGGGTGTTGTTCAGTTCCTAGGGTATGAATTAATCGTAACGACTGTTTTATAAGTCTACACCTCACATGAAGTAAACTGTTTATGTGTTTTGATTGGCTGTCATAGTGAACTTTGACAGTAAGGACACTTCACACACTCAAGGAAATAAAACATGCAAGAAATAGATCACATTTTTTAAAATAGTAATTTGATATTTGTAGAGATTTCTATCGATCTATTGCCATAAAGGTGACATACCTTGTCATCTTTATGGCAATAAAAGTTAGTGTTATGATTTGAAGTGACTTACAATATTTCTACATATTTCTGAAATTGTCAGGTTCGCATATTAGTGTTATTTCACTATAGGTCATATCATTTCGCCCCAACTGATGCCATAAACAAAACACATGTTGGTACAGAACAAGTCAGTTTATCCTCAGACCAGCTTTTTTATTGTGATAGAAAGAGGTCACACAAACTCATGGTTATATGTGTTATTTGGTTCACTCTTGTTTGTTATTTACCAAAATTTATAAAAAAAAAACTCCCAAAAGCTAGAATTGTTTTGCAACTTCTTAAAAAAAATTCAGATTTAAGGGAAAGAAATGTTACGTCTATTTATCAACTAGTCAATAATTTGTTTTAATTATTGAGAGGTCTGGATGTGGGTGGAATTAATTTAGTCTAACTATCAATATTAAGAGGCAATAGTTTTATGTTGTTCATATATCATGTAACTTTTATTGTAAAAGATTAAACAGATGTATTTCAGCAAAATGCAGGAATTTAAAGTTTTTGTTTGCTATTAAAGGCAAATACAACACTTAATTATTACCTGTTGGAATTTGTCCAACTGTAATATGATAGATTTTCAATATAATTGTTCGAGAGGAAAAAATGCATTATTTGTGCTTTGTTTAACAAACATTTTACTGAACACTATAAGATGAACAGAAAATTATGTATGAAAGAGAATATTTAACCAAGAAGTATTTTGAGAGAAAAGTTAATCAAGAATTAATTGGAGAGCAAAATTAATCAAGAAATGGTTATATTCCAAAGAAAACTGAATATAGGCTTGGTAAGAGATAAACCTTGTAATGATCAATTATATTTTTTACTCTTAATTATATGGCCATCACCATTGTTCATACAGGCAGTGAAAAGTGCTGAAATTAAAGGGAGGTAAGTGCTGGAAAATTTTGAAAAATATGTCTTGGAGACCAGGTTAGTGCTAGAGACTTATTTGTTGAAAAGTCAATAAGTGGTGGAATAGTTGTGATGGTTCAATTTTGTTACTTTTATATTTCCATACAAGACATTTTTAGATATCTTCAATTCTTTGAAACAGTTCTTCACATAAAACAATAAAATTTGGACTGTTTCAAAGTGTTTTTATAAAACTTCAATACATAAAAAGTTTGTAACTGGAACATTAATGTTTTGTGATTAGTTTAATTTTTTTGCGTAGTACTAAAATAATTTGATTCACACAGCAAAGTTTCTAAACATGGACCTGGAAAGAGTACATTAATTTGAATTAGATAGGTCTGTGTGAACCTTGGTGACATTAGCTAATTTATATAGATATTTATCTCCGAGCTTTGTAAGCATGGATAATAATACTATTATGTTTATTTTAAGTTATTTGACTTGGTAAAATTTATGTATATGTTTGCTACAAGATCCTACCAAGGAATCAGGACTTTCTCGTGGCACGGACAGAACGATTTTACCATAGGGCATTTACTAGGAGTTAAGTGCCCTAGAAATTAATATCTAGGAGTATTTCATAATTATACAGCTCTGTTCCCACTTTGTTATCAATCCTGACAGGATCAAGGAAACAAAAAGCCAGGAATAAGAATTATATTTGCTCCATATCTTATTTCCAAATCTAGACGGGCAATCTTTATAAAAAAATTCAAGATAGACAATTTAGCTTTTTCAAATACAAATGTAAAAGGGTTTTGTAATTTGTTTTATTTTTTCAAAATACATTTTGCAAGTATATAATTGGTTGACATATATTGGTTTGTTTATGTACAGTACTCAAATCAAGCACAGTATATCTTGGGAAATAAACCCACCTCTGTTTTAGTCTGTCAAAATCAAACTCTAAATTTTTTTATTGCTTCGTTTAAGTGTTTTATATTTGTTGATCAAAGTAAATGTGATTTTGTTATGAAGATTTGTCATTAAATAGGTTACAACATTCATGCTATTAATAAGATTTACTTCAAAATGCTATATGTATATTTTGCATGATATTATTGTGTCACATTCAGGTAGCATAAAACACAATTTGAAGCATATGAATTTGGTACCAATTAACATGATTATGCCAAAGCCAGTATATAAGTGTATATTAAAATTATATATAACTGTTTGCTATGTTGTCTACACAGAACAATTTTGATATTGGCAAAGAAGAATTTTTTATCATAAAAGAATGTACCAAGTATAAATTTGTTTCCTTCACTTATATCTATTTTTAATTTTAATTAAACCTTCAAAACTACAAAGATAACCTGTTTGACCATTTTCTTCTTAAATGTGAAACACCTCACCATTTAGATAAGGAATTTTGTACACCAATGTTAACCCCTAAATAATCTACCAGTCTATCTGATCCACAATAATTCCTGTTTCTAATGAAAATGATCAGATTGCAGATCATTGTACCATTATCCTATGTAATTTGTTGTTTCCAAACCGCTCATAAAGGTACATTAAATTCCTGGCACCTCCATACAAATAAAGTTTTTAATTAATATCAGTTAGTTTCATGATGTGTAAGCCTCAAGCAAGCAGCAAACATGATTTTTATAATTAACTCTGTTGTTTCAGTTCCTGTTGGTGAAATTTTTTATTACATGTTTTCAAAGGGTATATGTTTTGACCTTAATTCTAACTTTGTTGCAAAATTTCAAGTTGCATTTTAATTTTTTAAACATCTTCACCATGTGTTACACTTAACACCTTGTTCATGATTCAGTTTTATTAACTTCATGGTCATCTGTAAGATGTACTTTTTCATTATTGATGTCAACAGCCTTGAACAAATAGATATGTCCAGCTGTGGCAAGTAGCATTCACCCATTGGTCAGTCTGTCTGTTGCACTTTAATTTTTCATAAATTTGTTATATTTCCCAGTAATTGTACTTACAATTTGATTTAACCAGTCTTGCTGTCATGAACTCATACCTTTTTGTATCTGATCGGGAATTCAACTTCTTGTTGCCTAGATTAGAATGAGTCTGTTGTGACTGCTATCTGACCACCCAAACTTATTTTAGACTCTGATGTCAGGTTCTAGGATGCCATTTTTTTTTATCTCATATTATCTTATATTAAACCATTCATTTGATACTATGTACTTAGCTTGTTAAAATTAAGGAAATTTTCATTGTTATTTTTTTATGTGATGCATTTAAAATTCCGTTAAATCCTGCAGTTACCTAGCTGTATTAACACTGAAGCTGGACAGACATTCTTGTTTCACTCTCATTCTTAAGTTAATTATTACCTCCAATAAGAAACTCAGTTTGAAATGTCATATCAGTCACAATCAAAATTTCCTAATTTAAGTTAAAGTGGAAGATCATAACTTATATCGACCATTATCATTTAGATACTTCAATAGCTTATAAGTGTGTTTTACACTGCCTCAAGGATGGTAATGGCCCCTTATGTGTCACAATTAAATGTTTTCACAGATTTAAGCTTGTTTTATGCATACTTATAATAAGTATAATTGATATGTTTTGACATTTGGCAATACATGTACATCATGATATTAAAAGGAATTATGGTCATATCATGTGATATAAAATGGACGTAACGTAACAAGTTTTGTATTGAAAAACAATTTGAAGTGGAAAGGAAATTCACTCTGATTTATCATGAAATCAAAAATAGATGCCTTTTCCGATCAATCAATGAATGCAACAGATTAGAAGTGATCGTTGATAATGATCAGTGGCGTATCATTATAGGTTTTGATTGAGTGTGTAGTTAATAATGTGATGATCACCCTATATACAGCCAAATGAACTCGGAAAAAAATGAGTCTTTCGTAATTCTGAGAGTTTAGCAGTATTGGTTTTGACGATTATTTTATGACTAATATAAAAAAAAAAAGAATGTATGTTTAGAAATGTTATCACAATGAGATGAGATAAACTCATACATGTTGTCACTAAACTCTTTTCTGTAAATATTTTTTAGGGGGGAAAAAAAAAGAGAAAAAATGTTGTTGCTTTTATGTAAGATATTTAATGCACCTCTGATGAAAAAGAGTTCCACATATGAATTCTTAATTGGATACTTCAAATTTTGATGACATACATATCTATACACAGTACCTAATGTGTTAAAAAAATATCAAAGGGAGGTAACTTAAACACAAGCAGAATGTATGATACATCCTTAACATGCCTTAAGGTTATTGATTGTTTCGACAGCTATTGTTATATAAAATATATTGGCCAGTGTTTACAATAAGTTGTCCGTCCGATAGATTATCAAAATCTGTTAAAATGTTCTATATTGTTCTGAATATGGAGGTTGATCCTGGCATATCTTTCCTGTGATGAAAGTCATATATGTGATAACACATGTTCTGTGGTAAACCGAACATGTCGCTGGAATACGGACACTTGTAGATGAGACAGTGCCTAGTGATAGGAAGATGAAAAACCTGTAACTAATTTATGAACAAAAGTAAACAGATTGATATGAGAATTATCCAAATGGATCTGTAATTCTTAATAAAGTTTCCACCTTTGCAATAGGTCAAATATTCTGGAAAGTTTGTGCTTCCAAAACACTGATACTTACATACCCTATAACAAGGTGCTTGTAAGCCACACAACTATATTTCCTTAAGTTTAATATTCATGAAATAACTATACTGTGTGTTGTGAGGTCTGGAGATACTTTCTGTATGTAAGTAGTTTAACTTGCAAAAGTTTTGCTGATCATGTTGGTTAATACAGCTCATAAAACCAAGACGTACATCTAGAAATCTTAAAACATTAAAGATATAAGGAATAATGCTCTGTGATAATGTTAAAATCATTGCAAAGTCTATATCATACAATTAAAATGGTTGATGGGTTATAATTTCATTATATAAAGTTTAATAATTCTGTAAAGCTGACAATTTCTTGTACAGAAATGTCACACAATGTCATTTGACTACAA